ACGCGATAATATCAAAATGTTAATGTGGAACCTGATGTGAAGTTTCCGAAAATACATGTTTCTCAGTTTTGTGTTCTAATATCAATCCTGTACAAAGAAAACTATGTCGTTATTTATTCAGTACACATTAAAATTTTAAGATACGTAGCTAAGCAATCGTTAAACTGCATTTAATTTCAGTTTTCTTGTGTATTTATGTTCATTTGTATGATGAGCTAAAACCACCAGGTCACTGGAATATCGAAGCTGATAAATCTGAATTTTATACTTTTACTTACTACCTCTGTAACACGGAGACCTGTTCGAAAATATTTCTCACAGGTATGAATACACTTCCTGAAGTCAGAAATAGTAAATATTTCAACTATCTGAACCAGTTTGCCACACAGATTCTACAAAACTTAGATGAGATAATGTGAATGAATCTAGTGAATCGTCTTGAATTAATATTTGACTCGATCGAGGTAAATGATTCATTTCAGTATTCGGGAACGAAAATCCACTTTGAGTAAGAATGTTTACAACTTGTATATATCTGGTAATGTATTGAAGTTCGCTAATTGTTTGGAATTCACCTGCATCATTGCGAAGACAATTTGTCATGTAACTTAACGTAATATTATGAAAAGTACACTCTATTTAATTCGCTTATCAAAAGGTGAGTAATTTGGAAAGTCTGAGGTCAAATTTTGATCACAGTTCATACAATTTTGTTTATTAAACACGTTGATATCTGTTTCGTGATTCATATGATTGGACAAAGTTTTTAAAAACAAGAGATGACGTTTTTATATATAAACTTCTGTTATGTTTATTTCGATTAATTTCCCTGAAGAAGTTCGGACCAGATTGCCGAAGGAATCGTTGGAATTAATCATTTGAACATCGCTGAGATTTGAAAAATATAAATTTTACAAATGTCTACTTCTCACTCGGCACCCAATTATTTTGGAACTATTCGGACAAATCTTGATCACAGTTCATATGTATAATTTACTCTGTGTATAGAAATATTCACGTCTTCATTATTCGTAGATGAATAACAGGTTATTACATCGATAATTAGGAAAATGACTGACCTACCTTCCGGTGCATTACACTTACAGCTCTACATCACATTAAAGAATTAGAGATTTCATCACCGGTAAACACTTCATCGTATTTTCGAATGTTTGTCAGAAATTCAGCAGCGAAAATTCCTTTCGCTGGTACTCAGATAATTTCGGAGTCGGTAATAATTGATACTGTTCATATCTTTTATGGACAGTGCTGGAGGAACTAAGGTGTTTTCGAAGATGCAGATCTGACTTATTCAGTCGAAATATGTAATGCTGATTCTACGTCCCATATCTGAACACTAAGCCGATATAGGAGTGCATATCACCTTTGTCATTGTTTTCCCCCATATGACTGATGGTGGAAAACACTTAAGTCGTGTCTCTGCTGTACTCGATTTTTCACATATCATGCTTACAGTTCAGCTTCTCACAACAAAGCTATTTGATTGTAACTACTATACATAAAATACAGCTAGCAAACTATCAAGCTGTTCGCCTATTGCTGCAGCTTCTATAAGAGCAGTTGAAGCCATAAATACAAATGGATTTCACTTAATCAAGTAATGAAATTTTTTGTCTCAGAGAATGTGTTAATTGGATGACAGACTATCAACAGTTACTAGTCATACTAATAGCTCATTTCAAGCAATCTGACAGTGTTTCAAGAAAATGTAGTGTAGACAAAAATGATTACTCCGTTGGTGCGTGCTAAGTTTATACCTTATTCTGAAATTTTCCAAGGTATCCATTTTTACTGATTAGGAACGGAATATTTCTGGTAATCCCAGTTGGAAGACAGTCGAGTTGACAGTATGTTTTTCAGCTGGGAAGAATACTCGCTGTCTCTCACTACTTTAAAATCAGTTGTTTTTCTGAAAACATAAGACAATTCATCTAATAAGGTATAATTATATTTCAATAGTTTACACAAAATGATAATTTTTGTTATTGGTAATATTGCAAGCGAAACTTATAATTGTGTTTAAACTATTGAAATATAATTATACTTTATTTGATCTAATCCACAATGCTCAAACGTTTTACTGATGGCAATCCATCTGTTTGACGTTCATCTATCAGCTGTTTATTCACACAACCCAGCCGTTGTGATGAATGAAAGTGGCTCATGAAGAGATATTATGAACTAGTCATTTACCCGGTAGTTTAGAAGTTTCCTGCATGATTGTTGTGAGTTTGTACTGGCTGTTTGCCAGTTGTATATTATAAGAAGGTATTTATAGCACTTATATGACAATAACGACGTTTGAGATATAAAGATGACATTTGGTGATCCGTTGTATATATCTGGGTTTGTTGACATACAGTCCTGTGATAAGAAGCCATTGCGCTTCTGCGGATTGACTTTGGAAGACCGAAAACGCGTAGACAGGATTCACCATCACCTTCGCTTCATTTATATTTTATAGATGGTGAAGTGAGGCACAACGCATTTGTGAGGTATTATTTTCCCCCTTCACCAACATATAATCCGCAGTTTCAGTCGGATTGAGTGCCAGACGCTCATGGTATCATTTGACTCGACCGTACCTTAGGAAAAAAACGGAACGACTTCAGCTACAACTGTAGGACTTAGTTCATTTCCATGTATTCAAAAGCATTTTGACTGTTTATTACAACTGCGAATTTCTGTATGTGAAGCTGCACACAGAGACTGTCATGGATTACTGAGCATTAAGATGTAGAGACTGAAGTAGGCCGAGACCATTTTTCTAAATTCCACTGGTAGTGATGTTCAAGCAGGTTATTTGCAAATCTGTGATCAACCTGTTGTCTTATGCTTGTCTTCAAATGTAAAGGAAAATTGTGATAGGTTGCGTAAAGGTTGTTCACCTCTACACCTTGACATGATGAAGATTTCAGTTCTGTGTGTCATGTATTTGGTTCACTCAGTTACAAATTTCTAATCTGTACAATATATATATATATATGTCAGAAGTTTGATTTCTGAAGCCAGTGCCATACCATTTCACAGTAGTTACTCTGAAGGCGGAATGGTTAACCATCTGTTTCGTGTGTGTGCCTTCATTCAGCATAACGGTAGTTTTTTAACGGATATTTCAGATTTTCAGGTTAAATCACCATTTAAATCTAACATAAACGAAATAGTGAATGAAGACTGAAATTCAGTCGAAGTGGCTGACATTCGGCTGAACAATGTCTAATTGATTTGAAATTCTCATGTTTACAGTAAAACCGGATGCGCTGAAGATGTTGCCTAGTGAGGCAATGAAAGTTTCGGCGATGAAGCATCAATCTCAATGAACACAAATACATCAAAACCAGTACAGAGTATTTATTCACTAAATAGAATATCGCCATAATATATCCAGAACAAAGACTGCATTATTCACGCATTTTGTTATCCCTTTACTCAACCAAAAAGGTACATGTTTATTCAGAGGGCTTTATCCATACGCGCGCGTGAACATATACCTGTATGCTTGAGTAAAGGGGCATTCAAATGCGTAAATAGTGCAGTCTTAGCCCACTTGGTAGATGCTGGACACCCGATAAAACTTGACCAGACATTCTCAGATACATACCGCGTTCCTAGTATTCGACTTAAAGGAGCTCGACTACGTTTCCTTTCAGTAGCTGAAGCGGTTGCAATTATTACTAGAGGACCAACATTTTGTATACAAAAGAAGTATGTTCAACCTCTATGTTTACCTTGGCCTACAATAAAGGCAACAAATCCTCCATGAAAATTAGCACTTTATATGTTTATCACAATTTTATTTCCTTCTTCTCATATTCCTTTGTTTCAGTGACAAGCGTTCATTTTCGACTTTTATGATTTCATGACCTTTCATATGATTTTATTACTTTAGATTTTATGTAGTGCTTTTCTAACTTGTTATCGTATTTACAAAATCCTGTTCATTCCACTTCATTGTATTCATCATTATTATTATTATTTGACAATCATTCACCAATAGTACTTGTAATTTTCTACCACATCATCGTTATTATTTTACAATCATTCTTATTGTCGTTATTTTCAACCTCGAACTTATGTCTAGTACGCCCCATTCGTTGGTTTATTTCCATATTGCCACACACACCCTGATCACACTCACTCTGGAAACATGTATATTTCTGTTGACAACATTCATATATACATATATGTATACATCATTAAATTATTTCATCTTATTTTATCTGATGTTCTTATCGAGCATGTATATCAAAAAACTACCTGACTTTTTTCCATCCCATCAAATACTTGTTCCACAATACACTTTGTGACATGATTCTAATTTGCCTTCACTGGCCGGCTAGCTATTTTATGCTTAAATTAAGGGATTTATAATTAAAGAGGCTGAAGAAGAATTTATTCAAACCACAATCGTTCGCTCTGACTCTTTATTCATTGCTGATTCTGAATTATATCCAGCTTCTCCCTGGGCATTATTGGGTGCTTAGCTCTGACACCTAGAATGGTACATTTTGGATAACTGACGACGTAAACACTGGCATATATTTGAATAAGACGCTCATCTCTCTCTTTGTGGAATGACTTGACACTGACTGGTAATCAAATGCTAAATATTCGAAGTGTACAATGTAGCATTCAGTATTCCTATTTCTCTAGCTGCATAAAATTTCATGCTAACGATTTACTGATTTTGAAAAGAGTTGTAAACAGGTAGAGCGAAAACACACAGGCAGTGAATATTTCAACCAACAGAAATGAAGCTTTCGCTGCCGTTTGTGTGTGCCTGTCTCGTACTGCTGATCCACATTTCAGCGAATACAAATTCTCTATAATTGAAATATCAAGTTTTCTGTGAGTTTCACATGATGCAACCTGATGCAATGTGTGTTTGTATGTGTGTCAATATGCAGTTGGATTGACGACAATATAAAACGGTTATCTGCTAACATTGTGTCAAAGTGATAAACTGCCTAGACGCAAACATGTTGAGAAACATATGGTGGACCTTGTCGGCATCGATTTTCTTGTGTAAGTGGTTCCTGATTTTTGCGCACAGAATGAGTTAGTCTTCCGTCTTGTGAGTCAGACTGCCATAATTTTAAGGTGTATGATATTTACAATTCATGTATATTTGTTGTATGACACCATGTTTCTTTGTATGACAAATGAGACGTATAACTTTGATTAAACATTTCAGATATCCTGTGTCTGCCAACATCGGAGGCAGGATTCTTGTGGTGGTTGTATTGTAAGACACATTCTTTGATTTTAATATTTGTGAAACAGTTTCATTTTGAATTATTGAAAGGGGATGTCTACTAGACTGTCATGCTGTGTAAATATTGGTGTTCAGTCAGGCTTAGGATTTTTATACGATTTAATAGTGTGAAATATTTCCACGTTAAGGGATGCATTTCCTCCAAAGATTGTTTGGAGGAAGAACTCCAGGTCACCTGGGATATTCTAAGCGAGAATGGAATTACAGAGAATTTCATTGGATTATAATAAAATTAGGTAAACAGTGAAGGAAATTTTCTTTTCGACGATTCATTCTCACAAGATGAACAATCGTAATTATATGTAGCGAAGAGATCATATGAGCAATCACATACTGGTGAAATTTGTCCTCAAAGAATGTATTACGTAATGTGATGTGTAAGCTAGAAGAGGTGAATTATTCGAAGTAAGAAAAGAGGCGGAATTCAGTATTAAAGCAAACATAGGTTACAATAGTCGTAAGCATGAACTGGCAGCTGTCGTTATCGCATACATTTCGCTTGAGTCTGCCACATATAGCTGAAGCTGTTGCAATAAGATTGAATAAAGCGGAACTTTGTTTTCAATAGGAACACGTCTAGACGGTGTTCCTACCGCGGCCGAATTTTGGTTAACGATTCTTCATCTTAACCAGATTGCTTCTTCCCATTAACCCTCTTGTTTTTCCCTTTCTTTGCTAATTATTACAATTAATATTGTTCGTTATAATCTTTGCGCTTCGTTCAAATTCTCTCTCAAAACTATCCAATTTTCCATTTTTGTTATCCGGTTTTATTGTTAGTGATATTATCGCTTTTCTCAATGTATGCTTCTGTCTGTTTCATTTCACACATCGCTATTTCATTATGAACTTCACATTTCAGTCTTAGGTCTTAATCCTCTTTAATACGTACCACTCTGTACTGGCCACTCACCTGGCACCTGTTAAAACCTTGGAGTGTCTTGTTAGTTTTTCTTACCCCACAATTTACGAATCTAGTATGACTAATCGCCATCACCATTGTCTCGTATTTCACAATATTTATTGATCGATTTCAGCCTATCACGTTTGCCACACAAATACTACTATTTACTTTGATACCTCATGACCAACCTGTGATTCCACGTTAAAAACAATATCCACTGCATAACTGGCCATTATTGTAATGTCAACAAAAGTTATAATTTATAACTGAATAGACCTGAAGAGAAGTAATGGGAAAGAAAATTCTTCGCTCAGACTGGAGATGTTTACTTGAACATAAGTAAATGTTCTTTATTCTGAGATTTTTCACCTCATCATTTTATGCGACAAGCTATCACCACCAGTTAGCACAAATATCGAGACTACTAACATTCTGTTTCAAGCAGTCAAATTAAAAGGGCCATTACGTCTCACTTCCCAAAGTGTTGCATGATTGACATTCGAATGCATCAATGCTTTGATAATCACTGCTTTGTATATGATTCTACTGCGAATTTGTGTGAATATGAATGTGTTTCTCTAAGCTCTTGCCTTCTCTCTGATAAGACAGGTTGATAAGCTGACCAGTGCGTCATCTTCTTCCTGGTGTAATATAAATTACTGGAATTCATTTTGATGTTGATCATCGTCAACTGAAACATATTTTACGACTTGTGTGATGCTTTGAATTCTGTGTGGGATTGTTTGATGGGGGACAGTTGGACTGGCGAGATTGTGGTGTTGACCTGCAATGTCAACTAAAATCATGTCAGTAACGACTGGGTTTTGCAATGTATACTGACTCATAGTTACGCATTTCGGTGGAAACTTTTAGACACTCATGAAGTAACTTCACCATCCGGATACAATTAAATTCTTTTTAATTGATTTATTTATTTTTTGAAAGGTCTGTTTTTTAGCGACTCGGCATTTTGCAGTGGTAAGTGTCCGCATGTTTTGATCTGTATACTTTTTTTTAAGGCATTGACGTTCTAAAAAGTTTCCGCGGCTGAGCATGGGATCTTTTGTTGTTGTTATAGACGACATTCCTTATATGTCTCACTGTTGTTTTAAATAATAAGGACATCTTTTTCACTTAGAAATAAAGATGTGTGCAGAAATTTGGACGATTCATCAGTTGTTTCATTTCTAGGCCATGCATTTCCATGCATTCATTCTATCGACTAATGATAAGGGATTTATCTGGTGTTGCTGTTGGTGATGTTATACAAGGAACAGAGATTTTGACAAAGTATTTCGGGCGTAGTTTCCCTTGAAAGATAATCTTAGTTACACGTAGTAAACAAACAGCGTGACTAAATATATGTGTGGTTGCCTCACTTCTCATAGATCACCTCATATCTATCTGGAAAGGAATGTTTAATCTCTTCAGGGAAATTCATTTCTGATTAGATTTATCAATAGGCTTCATTCATAGGATGTTCTGTTTCATACATTAAGATGCGAAATGTCACAATGTGTATGGATAATGTCTGCATAATAATTTTTCATATTCACTATAATACTGTGACGACAAACAAGTAATAATATACGTATGAACGTATTCAATATTTTGGTTCTAGCTGAGGGAATAGTACAGACTGTTTTAGTAAGTGTATTGCCATTTTTATAAATGAATTTGCGTTTTTTTGCTTATACCCTGAAATCTGTGCAAACCATTGCGAAGACTACACGCATGGTGAGGTGATAATAATAATTCACTGAATGCATCTAGAAGAGGTAACTTCCACATTTGAATAAGATCCGGTAACCTATAATAAGTATGGCATGTTCAGTGCTCAGTCACGTCCGATTCGAGTGGAGATAACTCATTATTTATTCGAAAGGCTGTGGTCACTTACCTATGTATTAGTGTGCCACACATACAGTTTTCTACCATTTTGTTGTAACCTACTTCTTCTCAGCCATTCGAAACAGCAGAAAATATTTGTAATGTAATTTCAGACTGACAGCATTCTAACAACACCCGTGCTAAGTTTATTCAGTGTCATTACCTGTTCTTATTCCAGAATGCCACTTCTAATCTTGGAGTGAGTTATAATGGTTACTAATTAGTGTTTAGTCTTAACTAATTCAATGTAAAACTGAGAACGTTTGCGTGCTTGTAGTATTAACTGCGTCATAAATCTATTTAAACTTAATAGCCTTCAAAGCTGTTCAGGTAAATGTATCGTAATCAGAGATATGTTCATAGTTATGATAAAAGTAAAGATACTGACTACTCATCTTATCCTATCTTTTGACACCTAAAGTTTTTTTTTAGTTAATGGTGCTAGAGCGATTTATTTGCTGCTCTGTTTCTGGAATATGTTTGGAGGAAATATTTCGTTAGCAGTTTGAGTGAAGAAAATATATCGCTCGATTTTCAATGCAAATAAAATTGATTAATTCTCTTTTGAGTGTTGTAAAATGATCAGTGACTACTTGATATTTACTTGATGCTGTAGGATGCTACGTTCTGCAGTCGTTAATTGTTTCCATTCTTTAGTATTCACGTTGCAGTTATTATGACAAGTAAATTATAAATAAATTTATATTTCAAAACCGTAAAGTTAGAGGAAAATATGAAAGGGTTTTCAACTCTTTGTTGCTGATGTTTGTTTCATAAAATTCATTATCAAGGACTTCTTTTATACTGATTTAATATTTGATAATAGGATGCACTTCCGACCGTAAATATTTATCAATATCTACTTCGAGTATATGCATGTACGGAATTTTACCACTTTACGGTCAATTCAAAAAGTAGTAATCCGATAGTATTTGGGTGATGATATTAATATTCTTACTGTTTCTGCACTCATTTACTTCATTTCTTTATTTCTGCATCACATTTCTTTAGTGTGTTATTTAGAAGAGATGTTTCCTAATCTGCGTCAGATAAAAATAAAGTAATACAAAAAGCTCTATTAGGGTAGACATTAAACTAAACTATAATAAATTATGAAAAATTAAGTGACATGATACAACTGACTAGACTGAGTAGAGCTTAATTAAGATTGAATGCTGGTCATCTCTCAGAGTGTTGAAATAGCGTGATTAGCTAATTAATTATGTTTATGTTTTAACTAAATGTATCTTGGTTTCACATAGCTTGAACTTTATGAAGCCAAAATCAGTAACTTGTGTCACTCTACCTGTCCATCTATAATTGCAGGGTGGTTTACAGTTACCCGTAAGTCATTATGATTACCTGTCTAAATGTCCATGTTTTACTGTTACTAAACAAAGATTTTCCCGCACCCTGACTTAAGAAAACGATTTAGCTGCCTAATCGCCGATAGAGTGAAGTTATATAGTCAGTATCGCGTTGATATTTGTTTAGTGTTGTTGGATTCGTATTCGCACAGTCAACAACTTTTCTAATCCGTCTATGATAAAATTTTTGTTATAATAATTGGTGACTGAAAAATGACTATATAAATCATGACAGTATACTTAAAGGGAATGACTCAGTTCATTTTGATTCAAGTTCGTATTCATCTACCAAACCTTGTTGCAGTATTTTCGAAAGTCTATGAGAAAAAAAGTACATCTCTATCAAAAGTTCACCTTGATAACATTTCAATTAAACCCTCGTATGGAACATCTAAAATTTCGATGATATCTTGATTAGTTATATTCAGGTATCAGCTGGAACGTTTCAAGTATAATATATATAAATGTCATAGAATTAATTGACCATGAATTGTGATGGAGTGATTGCTGCTTTGATTGCAGGGAGGTGCATCGCCATAGGTAAGTTAACATAATTGCATGATTGACTTTTGTTCATACCACGATTGTGTCTAATTTTGTTTCGAGTTATTTTGTTTCTTTTCAAACTGCGTCTCCTTGAAAACTATTCACATAACTATGTGGATAACAGGGGGTGAAGCTTGGTGATGTGCTGGTGGAAAAACAAATGAAATGACGAAGGCGATGTCACCTACTTAGATTTGAAGATGGAATTCTCCCTAAATAAACAGCTAGGTATGCCTGAGTTTTGAGTACATAGACAATTGTGTGTACTGGTGATTTTGTAGATGCATTTGTAAAACTACGGAAATAATTTTCAAAATGTGTGAGTGGTCAGTGACACTTTTCGTATTCATCTGGTAATATTGAAATCCTACTTGTGTAATCTTTAAATGTTCTGTCCGTCCTACATTGTAGTTCGTTTAGAAGACAAAGTGAACGAGTTCGCAATGAACTTTAGACATATAATTTCATCGAATTTCAAACTATACGATGTCGATTCTAGAAGACAAGTGAGGGCGGCATGTTTGCTACTCATTCCGAATGTTCACTGCTAATTTTCAAAATGTTAACATTCTACATTCACAATAGTGTGTTGAATCTGAATAAAAGTTGCATTTCAGTGGTTGCTTCACTGCCGATAATCAAGGGATATATCTAATATCCTTACCTATCAAATGCTCAAAAGCGACATAAAATTTACGAGTATGTCGGACTTTCATATTCACCGACTGGTTGTTTATTATTTGATAGAGCAGCTCTTCATAATTTATTATTTGTGAAATAAGATTTTAATTGTGACTGTAATCAATTTATATCAACCAACCATTGATAGAAATGTTATCTTTTAACTATAATCCACTGAAAACTAATGAAGTAAAAATATGGAAATTGAAGCACGACCAGTGGTAAATAGCCATGGAGTCAGAAAGTATTGACTCTAACGCATCTCAGTGATAGGAATAATTTCTTGATTTCGACAGAGAAGTAATCTAGGCTTACAACTTTTACACCACAATGTTAGTAAGCACAAGCCATTAGGAATTCTTGTTGCATATAATTAGAGAATTGAGACAGGCAGTTAACATAGAAATATGTGTAATTGTCTGTCAATGAGATGGATAGATTTTTGTGTCATAGTGTACCCTGATATCGAAATTCTATTTTCTAACGCTTTATTGTGATTCTGAGCAAGTTTCCATCGACAGCTGAAAACATGAAGTCAGGTTTTGGAATATGTATTTTGAGTGTTATTGGCCAGCTAAATGGTCAATAGAAGATGTCAATGATTATTTCATATTTAAGTGGTAGTATTCGGTTATTGCTTCTACACTTCTTAAACGTTACTTCACCTCCAAATCCCGATTTTGAATAGCTTAATGAGAGGCAATTCATTATAGATTATAACGTCGAACACAAGATACAGTCTTTCAGTGTTGACTTTTAAGAAGTACGAATAAATTCTTACTGATCATTATGCTATTATTTTTAATACAGTTACCGAAGTAAGCATGACATTTAATTTATTCCCCGTGAATTCTTATTCGACGGAGAATAAATTTTCCTTAGTAAACTCAAAGTAAATCATATCACTAGAAAACTGCTTCAACAAATGTTAGTCCATATTTTCCATACCACATTTTGTAACTTATAAATGGATAGGCAAGTATTAAGACATTTCTCTTGAAATGTGTGACTTTGATCACAAAACAGGCAACAGCAAGAGGTGCAGGTTCATGAAAACATAATCAAAAGAAGTTATAAATTGTCATTATTTACTAGCAGTAGTGCTGATTATCTGTAGGAACAAGTGCTCAGAAGAGAACAGTGATAACAATCTTATAAATGACTAGAGCTATTGAAACGTCAACCTCACAACCTCATTCTTACTTTTTAAAAACAAAGTAAACTGCCAAAACCATTTGGTTGGTTGGTTGGTTGATATTTCTTCATTGTTTTATAGGACTGTTTACATCTTGCAAATTATTTGCTTATCCTAATGTTGGTATAAGTTGCGAAGCAATCTGTTAAGAAGGTTATTTCACACGTACTCACTTGATAATCTGACTGAAATTTCAAGTGATGTAAAGGTATCCGTGTGGTGATGTTTAAGACACTAGTGGGCTGATGCAATTGAAGAAATAATACATATACCTTGTTCTGTATATACCTTAAGGCAGACATCAATTGCATACGTTAAAACACCAGAACACCTCTTTGTTACATTGTATTTGAAACACTCGGAACATACGTCAAATTAATCCGCATTGTATTGCTTATTTCTTGTTTAGTAGAGTGGGGTAAATGGACGACCACTGACAACATTTTTGAAATTATCATTGTAAATTTGACTGCCATGAAATAAATAAAATATTGATTAACGACTTCCAATAGTTTGAATGAATAATACATTGAGAAAGCTACTAGCCTTAAACAGGAGAACATGAGGAAAAAGGATATCACTTAGTCTTGCGGTCCATGAAGTACAACAAAATCTTTTATGGTCATTGAAGAATTCTGTCGACTTTTTCTCCGCCCACATTCATGGATAAATTTAGATTTTCTCCAGTTTGTACATTAGACACATTAACTACATTTCTCAAAAAGTTAAATCACGTGTGATTGATTTAGCGATCTCAGTTAACTGGATCGAATTTTTTTTCACTATCACTTCTGTATGAAGCAAATAAATTCGTGAATTTATTTTACCTTGGAAAAATAAGTGAATCTGCAATGACTGACTTGCAAATGTATATGTCACACAGATCGACACTGTGTGGCTTTGAGTCATCTAAATTAAACTCCAAAACAAGCAAATTCGAAAGATGACTGGCACTTAAAATAATGATGGTACCCTACATGACTCTGATATATGCAAATATTGACAGAGATGTTGAGATATGTCAATGGAATTTTGTACGTAATCATACTGGAAATTCAGTGCATTTTGCCTCAACTTAAGTGCTAAAAATCCACACAATTGTACATAAGTGTACTGTCAGATTATTTTGATCTGATTCATTCCAGATGATTTCCGGTGTGATCACTTGATATCTGATATACTGGTTTACTCAGTGCTGTGTGAGTAGCAACACTTGGAGTTGTGCTTACGTTTTCACTCATCAATGTCATTCGGATATTTTGCAAACAGCTGTGAGGAGGTGTAGTTAACAGTGCCCAGACATTTTTCGATTGGGGATAACATTATATATAAACAAATCGTTCATCACTTGGAAAAAATGAAGACGTAGTCTTAACAAAATGTCTTCCAACATATAAGGCTGCGTAATAAACGAATATGTCTGATAACATACAGTCACTGATGCATTGTGTGATATTTTCACTGTGGTCTTTCTAGTAAAGTCGAGTAATGAAAGCTATGACTTATGGTATGGAACTGAGAGTTTATTCTTAGACATTTTCACTTTTCAGATGCATCGCGAATGTCTGTGTTATATGACCTTAGAAGTCTACGCTGGTTTCGTTTATCTGTCATATCTCGATACACCCGTATCTTCAAAAGACTGATTCCATCATGAGAAAAACTGATTTAGAGTTTCAGCTGTCTTCTACACAAAACTGTATTCTAAATACTGCCTGTGATTTTTACTTGACAGCGAATGATGGTGTGAATCATAAAAGGATTACAATTCATTATTTTATGACCAAATGACATGACGGCAAGAAGTGTTGAAGAGAACAATTTTGGAAATAAATACCACAGTATATTCAATTTTGTTACTTTATCCAAAAAGGTATGATTGTATGTTTCTAAGCCGGTGTGACATGTCTTTATTTGAAGAAGTGTACTAAGAAAATTGATCACTACCAGTCCTCTGTAACAATCCTTTCACACATTTTGTCTGTATTCGTCAATAATCCTAATACAGATATTCATGAAAATAAAACAGGCAGTTTAGTGTGGCTACTTTCAGCGAATTCATTCTCCTATTAGGCTGTACAGTCGCATTTATATACAATCTGTTTTTCATAAAAGTGGGAGATAAGAAACTGATGAGCTGTGACAAACAGTGTTGCTAATATTGGTCAATGTAGAAGAGGAGTGGAATAATTGCTTTAACGTTCGGTATTAGGATGAATAACTTAATCTAGAACGCACAAAGAAATCAAGAGGAAGATGGAGCTACACAGAAGGTCGATTGAAATACAAGATTGTGAGAAAAGTGAAGGACTAAAAGCCAAGTCGGTAGAAATCGATACAGTTGTTACCATGAGATCTAGGTTATTGAATAAGTTTCTTCGTTACGCATAGCTCCGGCTTCTATGTCTGAATGCCTAGATTTTCAGCAATGAAAAGGAGACGAGGGCGTATTATTTCTGGCAAGTTGTTCTTCACATTGCAGATAACTTCGAAGGGGGCGTTTGTTGAGACGAAGTGGTCAGTATTGACAAGGTGTTGAATTATCGCCGCTCTGACACAGCCTGATAGAATGGTCGACGAATACCAGCGGACCCTTACTGATCCGCATTGAAGTTAAGTCATTGTTATACTGAATGTTTGGTAGACGTGTTACTTTATAAAACTGATTTGGAAGTATTCAACAAAATGCTATCACAATGACAGTATCTGTAAAATAGCTGGTGGAAACGAATCGCAATGTGCCTTCGCCTTCGCTTTGATTTCAAAATATAGGATAAAACTGAACGAATCGACTTATTTTGCTATTATTCAGGTGTTCAGCAAGTCTTGAAGATGCACAAAATATTCATAATTCACATGATTTGCTTCAAGTAGGTGATGAAATGAATCATTCATTACTAGACGGAGCAGTTCTGCAAGTGTTTTGTATAAAAAATGAAGTAGAATGAAGTTAAGGCATGTTTGACCACAATTTACAGAACAGATGTAACGTATTCTTGAGTGGTGAAACACGTATACAGACCGAATGAGAATAACGAATATACCAATCTCAATGAAAG